ACAGCTGTTTATCAAATCTGCTATGAAGGAAAACCTGTCCAAGAGATGATATCTTGCCTTCAGAGTCATCCAGAGCATATTTAAAATGAATTGTGCAATTTTACAACTGCAGCTTCTGCCTTTCCAATTCTTACTTGGGTTCAAGTGGATTAGCACTAAGCTCCACAAGAAGCTGCTCACTAGACAACCATAGCAACATGATTGTGAATGAATTGCTATAGTTTTTTCAACCTAGTTTGATAGACTTGTGCAGTGTTGGATTGGTGACTGCCATTTTACTGCCTAAAATGCAAATGTTTTAAGATATATACAAAACTTGCACTATATATAAGTATGCATTTGTGAGTGTTCCTACAGTACAAGACACAAATGATATTTAATCATTTTTCCATCTCCAGTTTTCTTCTAAGGACTTCATCTAATACCCACTAGAGACAGTGGAAAAAATCCCATTAGCTTTGAGTCAAATCTCCTGTAGTAGCTTGCTTTTCCAGAACTTTTTTATTCTGCAGTGCATATAGAACCAGTTTTCAGATTTCAGGTTTGCATGTTTTTTGCTGGCATTAATTTAAGCAATATTAATATCAAGCAAGTGATAATAGCTATTCATGGAGGGAGGGAAGGGATTGGCATTTTAATTAACTTTCTCCATTTAGTGATGTCATGGTACTTAGACAGTCACAAATTGTCAGACTGGTTAAAACCTATTTTTAAAGTGGATTTAATCCTTTAAGTGTAATATTTTAAAGGGGACATTATCTGCCCTCAGTTTTTATCCCTCTTTCTTCACATTTTGTATTCCTACATTTCTCTTGCTGTTCATACATATTAAGCTATTTTAGAATTCCATTAGAAAGGAAAAGCGAGAGGTTTTTTAGCAGAACACACTCCAGTATCGGGCCCTGTGGTTCATCCATATACTGTACTGTAGTTTTATATATTTGGGGTTGTTTTGGAGGGGAGGGGGCATTCTTGTGGCACCTACTACTCGGAGCTGCCATGCTGCTGTTTTCCCTTAACCATCAGCTACCAAGAGCTGTACTGCATACCGCACACCAAGGAATTCCCAGTAATTCCTATTTGTATTGGCAAATGAATTGTATTTCTTTCTGCTAGCTGCATTTCAGTGCCTAAAATGACAAGGTCTACTGGTCTCTGTGGACTTGATCTAACTTCCAGTCAAGTGAATAAAACATTTTTCTTGTTCTTTAACTTAAAAGACTTTTGGTGGGGGTTGGACCAAGCCTTGTCTGACCAATCAGCCTGAATGCTTCTCAGAGGTCATGCC